ATAAAGTGATTAAGACTTGGATTAGGGTTGTATTAAACTAGAGAGAGATTTGCAAATCTAATGCTCTCTTTGCTGTGATCCAAAATAAGCAAACAACTTCCAAGAATTTCATTGTTACAACTTACAATGCTTGGCCAGGGTTTAAACAATAATATATACCTATACCAATAATTTACAACATAAATTGTTTAGGGGTTTCGGAGTGGTGAAAATTTGAAAGGAGAGACGGTACATCTGCACTAAAAGCAAAATCTTCGTGGTAAATGACAAGATAGTTTAGGTGATATTTGCACACACAATCCTTATTAGTCCATGTGAAGTTTGTGCAATTTAACTTCTTTTTGTTTAATTAGCTAGATACGGACAAAGGAGACGGAAAAATAACTCATGCACATGCGTTAAATGTAAATAAAAATCAAAAGGATGACATTGGCAACTAAACTTATTGGATAAGTAGAAAATTCGTATGCAGTACCAACATTGTTGATCTCAAGCACAAAGCATTTGGTGAAAAATATCTAATAATTAGCAACTAAACTATGTTCACTTTGTCATTAGCCACAATTTAGTTATAAAAAAAAATCTAAGCTAAACCCGTTGTTTGTGGACAAAAATGGGATTATATTACAAATTCAATTATATAATAGCGGCGCGACAATGATATCAACGTGGACCCAATCAAACGAAATTAGTGGAAGGAAATGAGCAGCCCATAATTGGAAGTGTTGTAAATGGCACTTTCAAAGTGACGAATAAGGAGACCGTGCTCATGTTTAATTAACTAAGAACAAGGTAACCACTATTATAAAAATGTAAAAGTTATAGAGAGATAACCTTTATTCGGGACAGGAACGAAGCAGTTGCAGATTATTATACCAACACAAGCTGTTGCAGAGGAAGTAATGTATATTATTACTATTAGATATTTTTCTCTTCCTTTTTTCTCTCTGCCTTTTTAGTTGAACATTCGTAAAGCTCTATATAGAGCATCACCATGGAAACAAACAAAAACACTATTAAGCATATGATATGTCTACTTTATGCATGTGGGCATACATTATTATACTATTTACAACACTCCCCCTTGGATGCCCACATATCAACATCAGTTGCCTCATTAAAACCTTGCTTGGAAAAACCCTGTGGGAAAAAAACATAGCGAAGGAAAAGAGTACAACTTTATCCGGATGGTGTTAAGCATGCTTATGTTGCCTCGTTAAAACCTTGATAGGAAAAACCCAGTGGGAAAAATCCTAAGCGAAGGAAAAAGAGTACAACATGCATGTATCATGGATGCTCCCCCTGAATTGGATCTCCCCCTGATTCTGCATTCTTCAAATTTGTAAGCCGACGTAATCCGATTCCCTGCACCAGCTTCTGAAATATGCACTTTGGTAGAGATTTGGTGAACAAGTCTGCTAAATTTTCATTGGAACGGATTTGTCTGACTTCAATAACTTTAGCCTTCTGAAGCTCATGTGCGCTGAAAAATCTTGGAGATATGTGTTTAGTCTTATCATCTTTGATAAATCCTTCCTTCATCTGGGCGACACAGGCTGCATTATCTTCATGGATGACAGTTGGAGTGTCTGTCTTTGAAGGTAGACCACATGAATTCCGGATGTGATGGATCATTGATCTTAACCAAGAACATTCACGACTTGCTTCATGTAGAGCAATTATTTTCGAATGATTGGAAGATGTTGCAACTAGCGTTTGCTTCGTTGATCGCCATGAAATTGCAGTATCTCCATTAGTGAACACATATCCATTTTGTGAGCGGGCTTTATGCGGATCGGAGAGAAAACCAGCATCTGCGTATCCAACAAGGATCTGTTCATTTGTGGGCTTGTCTGAGTAGAAGAGACCCATATCTGTTGTCCCACGAAGGTATCGTAGAACATCTTTGACTCCCTTCCAATGACGAATTGTTGGAGCAGAGCTGTACCTGGCTAACAAGTTAACTGAAAAAGCTATATCTGGTCTAGTACATTGTGCTAAATACAATAAAGCACCTATTACGCTCAAATATGGTACTTCTGGACCAAGGACCAGTTCATCATCTTCCTTTGGACGAAATGGATCTTTCTTAATGTCTAAAGAACGAACGACTATTGGGGTGCTAAGTGGATAAGCCTTGTCCATGCCAAATCGCTTCAGTATTTTTTCAATGTAAGCTGATTGATGGACCAAAATTCCACTAACACAATGCTCGATCTGCAGGCCTAGACAATATTTGGTTTTCCCAAGGTCTTTCATTTCAAATTCGCTTTTCAGATATTCAGCAGTTTTATGGAGCTCTTCAGGAGTCCCAACTAAGTTCATATCATCAACATATACTGCCACTATAGCAAATCCAGAGTTGGATTTCTTAATGAACACACAAGGGCAGATGACATTGTTGATATATCCTTCTTTAATCAAATACTCACTGAGACGATTATACCACATTCGCCCAGATTGTTTCAGCCCATATAGTGATCGCCTTAACTTGATTGAGTACATACCCCGTGGTTTGTTTGTTGCTTCAGGCAACTTAAGTCCTTCTGGGACTTTCATATATATGTCAGTATCTAATTCTCCATATAGATATGCGGTGATGACATCCATAAGGCGCATGTCAAGTTTTTCTGAAATCACCAAACTTATTAAGTAACGGAACGTAATTGTGTCCATTACAGGAGAGTATGTCTCCTCATAATCAATTCCAGGTCTTTGTGAAAAGCCTTGTGCAACGAGTCGTGCTTTGTATCTAGCAATCTCGTTTTTCTCATTGTGTTTCCTTGTAAATACCCATTTGTAACCTACGGGGTTTACATCAGTTGGGGTTTGGACTACTGGTCCAAAAACACTTCGCCTTTCCAAGGAATTTAATTCTGCCTGGATTGCATCTTTCCACTTAGGCCAATCTTGTCTCTGTTTGCATTCATCAACAGAGCGGGGCTCAATATCATCACTTAATATGATTTCAGTGGCTACTGCAAATGCAAACATATCGTCAATGATTATTTCATTCCGATCCCATAATTCATTAGTACATGCATAATTTATGGAGATTTCTTTGCTTTCATGTACTTCTATCTCTTCAGGGCCATTTTCTTCTTCTGGAAGTCCAGAGGCATGAATTGTGGATTTGTCATTGACTCTCTCTTCCTGAATGATTTCATTTGGATTCAGTTGTGCCCTAGTCTTTCTCTTCCGAGGGGCTGAATCTTTTGAACCTGGTGGTCTACCACGCTTCAGGCGTGCACCAGATGAATCATTCGCTGCCACTTTATTTTGTCCAACAGGGACATCAATTCTGGCAGGTGCATTTGCAGCTGGTATATGCGATTTTGTCATTTTCATAGCGTCATTAAATGCATCTGGCATTTGATTGGCAATGCTTTGAAGATGAACGATCATTTTCACTTCATTTTCACATTGAAGGGTTCGAGGATCAAAATGAGACAAGGTGGGAACAACCCATGTCAGCTCTTTCCGTTCTTCTGGAACGGTCTTTTCTCCCCCTAACGATGGGAAGATTGTCTCATCAAAATGACAATCAGCAAAACGAGCTGTAAACATATCACCTGTCAAGGGTTCCAAATATCTAATAATAGATGGTGAATCAAAACCCACATAAATTCCCAGTCTATGCTGAGGTCCCATTTTAGTGCATTGCGGGGGTGCAATAGGCACATAAACAGCACAACAAAAAACTCGTAAATGTGAAATGTTTGGCTAATGTCCAAACACGAGTTGTATTGAGGAGTATTGGTGGTTGGCTATAGGTCTCAATCGAACCAATGATGCAGCATGTAGAATGGCATGTCCCCATGCAGAAACTGGCAATTTGGTTTTCATAAGCAGAGTGCGGGCTCTTAACTGAAGCCGCTTGATCAATGCTTCTGCTAAACCATTTTGAGTATGGACATGAGGAACAGGGTGTTCAACATCAATGCCTAATGTCATGCAGTAATCATCAAAGGTTTGAGACGTAAATTCACCAGCGTTATCAAGTCGGATTGATTTAATGGGATAATCTGGGAATTGTGCTCGTAACTTAGTTATCTGAGCAAGAAGTCTCGCAAAAGCTGCATTCCGAGTAGACAAGAGACAAACATGTGACCATCTAGTGGATGCATCAACCAAAACCATAAAATATCGAAATGGTCCACAAGATGGTTGAATAGGTCCACAGATATCCCCTTGAATTCTTTGTAGAAATGATGGGGATTCAGCATCAACCTTTAGTTGTGATGGTCTAATTACCAACTTCCCTTGAGAACAAGCCTTGCAAGGGTTATCATTTGGGATAGCAATGTCTCTGCTCAATAATGGATGTCCATTAGAGTTGGTAATGATCCTACGCATCATGGTGGATCCTGGATGACCCAGACGGTCATGCCAAAGCATGTAAACCTTTGAATCAGTGAACTTCTGGTTCATGATAGTATGTGATTCAACTGTCCTTATGTATGTATAATATAATCCACTCGAAAAACCACGCAACTTCTCCAATATACGCTTCTGGGTATCATTGGAGGTAATGCATAGATACTCCACATTTTTTGCACTTTTTGTTTCAATGTGGTATCCATTTAGACGTATGTCTTTGAAACTCAACAAATCTCGAGTAGATCGAGTAGCATACAATGCATTTTGTATGGATAATATTGTTCCATTTGGTAACATAATCTGGGCCTTCCCTGAGCCTTCAATCACATCTGAAGGTCCTGATATTGTTGTTACCCCTATTTTTGTAAGCATTAAGCTTGAGAAATACTTTCGATCACGAAGTATTGTATGTGTGGTTGCACTGTCTGCAAGACAAATATCTCCGCCATTTCTTATGTTCTGAGAATAACCACAGTTTTTATCCATGCTTTCTGAGTAAATGGAATCACAGTTAACAAACAATTTATAACAGGAATTTTACATGCCATTTTTATTGAATCTGAAAAACTAGTTTTAGACAACAAGTTCAGCATAATAAAAGTACATCAAACATAAACGATTTAGTCGGACCGATATACTTCATTCCCCCTTTCCGTAATGAAGTCTGAAACATCTAGGTGAGTTGCGTCAAATTGCCCTGATAAATCAAACACTGGATCATGTATATCTATTGGTTTATCCTGGTCGAGAAAATTGGTCTCGACACCCTTCTTCTTGAGGGAGGCTTGATACAACTCCACCAGATGTTTTGGGGTACGACAAGTTTGCACCCAATGCCCATTGCCACCACACCTATGGCAGGCTCCTTCAGAGTTCCTGGGAGCATTGGTCATGTTAGCTTTGCCTTTGTGACGATTCACATTTTTGAAGCTCGGGCCAGAATTATGCCTCTGAACCTGGTTGTGAAACTGACCACCATGGTTCTTGCCTTTCTTATTCCATCGACCTCGTTTGTGGCCACGTCCTTGTTTATGATAATTACCACCAAAGGATGTGGCGTTCACTTCGAGGGAAGTATCATTTACTTCTGGGAATGGTGCAGATCCAGTAGGTCGGGAATTATGGTTTTTCATCAGAAGCTCATTGTTCTGTTCAGCTACCAGGAGCACAGATATCAGCTGGTTGTATTCAGTGTAGGCTCGCGCTCTATACTGCTGCTGCAGGAGCACGTTATTGGCATGAAATGTGCTGTAAGTCTTTTCCAGCAATATTTCATCAGTAATGGTATCCCCACAGAGCTTCATCTGAGAGGTAATCCTGAACAACGCAGAATTGTACTCCGCCACTGATTTGAAATCCTGAATTCTCAGGTGAGACCACTCATAGCGAGCTTTTGGAAGAATCACTGTTGTCTGGTGATTATATCTGCTTCGCAAGGCCTCCCAGAGAGCTAACGAATCTTCAACCGTTAAGTACTCACTCTTTAGTGCCTCATCAAGATGGCGGCGAATAAAGATCATAGCCTTCGCCCGATTTTGAGAAGATGAGTTGCTTTCTTCCCTGATGGTATCTCCAAGATTCCCCGCTTCCAGATGGATCTTGGTATCAAGTACCCAAGTAAGGTAATTCTTCCCGGTAATGTCCAGGGCAGCATATTCAAGCTTAGCCAAGTTCGTCATTTTCTTTTCTGAAAGAAAATGAGATGTGTAGGAACTTGCAGTAATATGTATTCCTAGAGGAATGTGATGTTAGAACTTCTGGTTCTTACAAATTTTTCATTTTGATCTTCAGGCCAAAATGATAAGCACTCGAAACTTCTGGTTCGAGATTTTCAGGGTGAATGAGAAGGGCGATTGTACCGCACCATTCTCATTGAAAGAATGTAACATGGAATGGGCAATTAGTCTGCACCACTCAAGTAGCAAGAAAATTGAAATATGCAGAGCAGGGTGGGCGATTATACTGCACCACCTAAAATTACAATGAAATTAAACAACAGGTAAATTTAAATTTGGAGAACAAGGAGGGCGATTATACCGCACCACCTAAAATTGCAATGAAATTAAACAACAGGTAAATTTAAATTTGAAGAGCAAGGAGGGCGATTATACCGCTCCACCTGAAATTTGCAGTAAAATTAAATAACAGGTAAATTTAAATTTGAAGAGCAAGGAGGGCGATTATACCGCTCCACCTGAAATTTACAGTAAAATTAGATCTGCAGTCCAAGATAGGCGATGATACCGCACCATCTTGGATCGCAGTAAGATGAAATTTGCAGTTCAAGATAGGCGATTGTACCGCACCATCTTGGATTGCAGTAACATCAATATAAATACTATGTTAGTAATCAATATCCAAACCAAACAAGTAATCAAAGATGTATGTAACCGCTAGTTGGAGAACTACGAGCAGGCATGGAGCAAATAGTTCGTCGCGAGGATATACTGCGCAGTTGAGGCAGATGAAGAAGATGAACAGGAAAAACCTTAGAGGAAACATTTTTTTTTTTTTCGTTCGGCGGAGAGAAATGAGAGAATGATTTCCTTTATTGTTTAGTGAATGTAAATGAGACATGGTTATACTTAGAGACTCGTGCTGATAACGTGTTATAAAAATGTAAAAGTTATAGAGAGATAACCTTTATTCGGGACAGGAACGAAGCAGTTGCAGATTATTATACCAACACAAGCTGTTGCAGATGAAGTAATGTATATTATTACTATTAGATATTTTTCTCTTCCTTTTTTCTCTCTGCCTTTTTAGTTGAACATTCATAAAGCTCTATTTATAGAGCATCACCATGGAAACAAACAAAAACACTATTAAGCATATGATATGTCTACTGTATGCATGTGGGCATACATTATTATACTATTTACAACAACCACAAGTTTATGATTATTTATAGCCACACACAATTTGGTTTCGTCTTCGTCGCCCCAATAGATGCTGTTAGCTATTACTTTCTATTTCTTTTTTGTACAATGATACTAGGAAGTGGAACTCAAATTCGAAGCTTTGAGTATAATAATAATGCTTTTAAGTAATTGAGGTACAACTTTTTTGCGAAGATTATTGAGTTTAGTTAGATTATTTTGCATTGCTTTGGAGAGAATAGCATAAATGTACCCGATATTTCTAATAAAATGGACATTTTATAGAATAATGGTATGTTTGCCGTGTTTTTAATCAAATGAAATCGGAATTCGAATTTAGGAGGTTTTCAATTTGTTCTTCAAATTTATTCTTGTATTTGTACATAAATGACTCTCTCTCACTAGTCACTACCAGCAAATAACATCCCTCTCCTCTGCTTGAGAGCCTTTCTCACCGTCTTGTGTGAGTAGTTGCAACTTCGTCAATTTTCGTTTTTTTATTTTTTATTTTGTGTTTCTATGTTGCGTTTTCCTTTTCCTTTCAATCATGTTCTAGTTTTGTTCTCCACAATTCTTTGGCAGCCCTTTTTTTGGTCAATTCCAATTCGATCTGAAGCCACTGTTATAATGATTCGTTGCGATTAATCGAGTCGGTGTATCGAATTCCGGTGTTCCCACTAGTTCGGGTGCTATCAACATCACCACCTTCTCTCTCTACCTTTTGCAGCGTTGCGTGTGGATTTCCACAGGCTTCATGGCTGCTTCTTTCCAGCTTATGGTTGCGATTAAAGAGCTGTTCTCAGCTAGTGGAGGCGATTGGAGTAGGGATGCTTCGTCGGGAGCGTGGAATCGTCTTCGACAAGATTTGCTGGTGTGGAAGCGGATACAGCAGTGCTTTAGGTTTCCTTTCTTTTCTGATTGTTTTGGGCTCAACTTTTGTCTGGGCTTCTTATGTAATTTTGTTTCAAACTCCCTCTGCTCCTCTCCCTCTCTGTCAATTTCCTTTTTATTTTTATCTTTCTATAAAGAAGTCAACACAAAATGTTGACGTGATTTAGTCGTAAACGTTCAAATAAGAGAAGACTAGAGGAAAGAGAAAAATGGGATAGAAGAGAATCCGGATCCAATAAGTAGCACAACAGTTTTGATGCTCCTAAAGTCGCCATATTGTAACACTAAAACAAAATGAATATTAGAACCAAAAAAACTAAAATTGATTGAAATTGATATGTCAATCTTTTGTTAATGTTGAATATTCTGACATAACTGTGAATAAAAGTATGAAAAACAACCGATCGAATAAAACGTGGAAACAAGATATTCAAAAACATAGTTTTTTTTTTTTTTTTTTTTTTTTTGTCAAAATATTCAAAATTATCATATTTGACTTTAGTTAAATTGAATGCATATAATTTATACGAGAAAACAAATTCCAGGCCAATAATGCAACAAGTAAAAGGAGTGAAAGGAGCAGGATACGTCGTCGTTCCAGTTTGCAGAAGCAGCCGCAGACCCCCAGCCCCAGGGCCCTAGGTAATCCCAACGTGTCCAAAATTCATCGCTTTCCAGTTTCCAGACTACTGTTTCCTGACCCCTCGTAGTAAATTACGTGAAAACCCCTAGTATTGAATTACCTAAAAGCCCTTCTTCCATTTTCTCCATTACAGAAACGAAATTGACCACGCAATTAATTAAAGTTGAATATTAAGCTGAGCAGCAGGCACCATCAGAATTCAGAACCGTGAAACTTTCGAACAAAAACGACACCAGGAAAGGTCATATTTCCACTTGATTTGACCGTCTTTTCGACTATAGAATTCCAAGTTGCACATGAACAAATATAAACCGCTGATTCATGAAAGACCATGATTATGATTTTGATTATGATTCCGGTAAATTGTCGAGGTGGTGCATTACGTTTTCCACTCCGTGATATGTTAAATCCAACAGGATATTTTCTAGATTCTTTCATAAAGATTATGAGAATTCGTAAATCGTGTTCATTCATCGTATATTGTGTAATCAGTTTTTGTCAGGTACTGTTTGTATTTAATTTTAAATAAAAATATTTAAAATGATTTCTGACCGCATGATATACGATGAACAATTATGATCCACGGATTTTTGAAATCCTCACAAAGAGAAACCGGCAAGGATCCAAATTCATATTAAAAGACAGATATTTTCATCTTTATTATTTTATTCTTTTTAATACAAACGATATTTTACAAAGTATATTATTAATTGAGAAAAGTTTAAATCCAAGATGTCGTAGAAGGGAGAAGAAGGCTCTAATTATAAAAGCAGTACGACTTACGTTAAAGATAAATATTTAAAAGAGAGAAAAAGCCAATTACTGTTTTGAAAAGGGGGGATAATTCATTAATTTTCTGTTTAAGGCTTTAAGCATAGATGCATAGGTTGATTTGTCGGCACCAATATTAAGGCTTTCAAAGGGGAGAAAAAAGCCAATTACTTTTAGCATAGTGGAAAATGCCTTTAACCTTTTGCATTGATATTGTTTTTGCATAGCGCTTTACATCCTGTTTGTGGCCGTATAAGCCAATATGAAAGTTACTTTCTTTTGAATCTTGCATGCTCAATTTGCGCTTTCTCGTTTTTTCATTGACAGCGAAAGGAAGGTTTAACCCTATACATATGATCGAATATAATACATATAAGTATGGTAGTATTAGAGCAAATTACTCACATATGCATTGTGTTGTATAATCATATAAAATATATACGGTCTAATTGCTATATAAATCACCAAATAAATCATTGTTGACCCTAAAAACTACCAAGCCTACCTGGCGCGCAAGCCGAGTAATCTATAAGCTAACTACGTCATTCGGTGAATGCAGGGCGTGCCAACTCGTCGGCCTAGCTCGGCCGAGGAGTAAATTTGTTGATGTTGCGTTGGGTGCGCAGCTGACTTCTGCATCTTGCTATTGCGGCCGAGAAAGGAACACGTCTCGGCCTCTTGGGCTCTCGAACCTGAAGACAAGGTTACTATTCTTACGAAGCTCACAAATCGCCGTCGTCGGATTCGGTCACAGTGATGTTATTCGTCAGAGTAAACTCACGCCGAATCGACACCAAAGTGTAAGGGCACAAATACTCAAAGCGAATATAAGTCTTGATAGTGAACGTGGTTTGGCCGTCTGAATGCCGTACTCTAAATCCCACTTGAGAGTAACCAATCATAAAATAACTCGGCGTGCAATACGCCGAGCTCAGTAAACTGTAACACCTCACTTCGCCGAGAAGGCTAATGAGATGACCTCAATTAATAAGGATTCGGAAATCCTTCTCGACCGAGACTTGGATAGGTAACCAACCGTCCTCGCCGCAGTGCTGTTGATGCCAACGAAAGATGCTGCGAGATCGACTGATTCTACGGCGACAGAGCTATCTATGCCGACTTAAGATATCACCGGTTGCTTTCACAATGTTGTTGATGCCAACGGAAGATGTGTCAGCGAAAAGAGAAAATAAAAATCTCAAAGTTGTTGAGAGAGTTTGCGCAGGGCAGTTGTGTGTTGAATTGGAGGAGGCTTGAATGATGTACAACCTCCTCTATTTATAGCACCGGATACCCTCAAGGTTGAGTTAAAACCCTACCCGGATTAGGACTCCTTCTCCTGATCAAACACCAACTCGACCAGTCCTTCTTTCACCATAATTGTGAACCTATTCCTTTATTGAGTCGGATTCACTTCCGGGTTATTGATCTTGCCGAGACTCCTCATTGCACCAGGATTCGACTCGTCTTGCGACATGGCATAACCGACCCGGATTTGGAAGCCCACGACCTAACCGATCCAGAACTAACCGATCCTTGAGAACCTTGTCGTAAGGCCTTCTGGGCCGAGAATAACTCTATACTCGGCCCAAACTAATATTTTGGGCCCAAACAATCATATAGAAAAATAAGATATTATCATGAAAGTATATACAAAATTTAATGCATACTAACAAACAAAACACAATGCTCATGCAAATTAAATTGGATTAGAAAATTTTGAAAAATACGGTCGAGTCAAGAGCTTAGTTCTTTTTTCTTTAAGACGATTTAAGCTTTACTGCGATATTCATGGTTAATCGGCATATTTCTTTCAAGATACAACGACTATGTTCTTATAATAGTAGCACTGCAAACATAAGGCCCTAGCGAACCATAATTGTGTTGAACTCTCTAAAAATCTTGCTTAATCTTAATAATGATTTTGACGCCACTCAGTACTACGATCTGGTAATATTCTTCTTCACCTTCTTCACTTGAAAGTGAGAGGTCTTAAGTTCAAATCTCGTGGATGATGAATTCGATATTAAATTAAGCTGCTTATTGCGTGGTTTTGTCAAACTCTTCATTCTTCATTCCATTAGTGTAAAAATATCAATTTATTAAAAAACATTATTTTTGACTCAAATGATAAAACTTAATTATTTTTTTTACCAAATATGAAAAACTGGTCACAATTGCCCAACAAAGACGGACCAAACCCTAAAAGGGTGTTTTGGGAAACCCAAATTAAGAAGCGAGCTAGTAGCCTCCCGAAAAATGTGCTATAAATAAAACCCAACTCATAAGGCAGTGGCCATTGTTCTTCACAGTTTCTGGGTTTCTGTCGTTGCTGCTGTTGCTGCTATTGCTGCTATTGCCTCCTCCAACCCGCGAGCCATGGGCCCTGGGGTCCCACCAACCCTATCACCCACCTCCGCAGCCGCCGCCGCCACCCCCACCTCCACCCGCACCACCCTCCTAGGCAAATACCAACTGGGCAGGCTGTTGGGCCGAGGCAGCTTCGCCAAGGTCTACAAAGCTCAATCCCTCGTCGACAACACCGCTGTCGCCGTCAAAATCATCGACAAGTCCCAAACTGACGCCACCATGGAGCCCCGCATCCTCCGAGAAATCTCCGCCATGCGTCGCCTCCAGCAACACCCCAACGTCCTCAAAATCCACGAAGTCCTAGCCACCAAGTCCAAAATCTACCTCGTCGTTGAGCTCGCCACGGGCGGCGAGTTGTTCGCCAAACTCTCGCGCCACGGTAAATTGCCGGAGTCCCTTGCCCGCCGCTACTTCCAGCAGCTCGTCTCGGCGTTGCACTTCTGCCACCAAAACGGCGTCGCTCACCGCGATATGAAGCCCCAGAATCTTTTGCTCGACAAGAACGGCAACTTGAAAGTCTCCGATTTCGGTCTCTCCGCCTTACCCGATCAGCTCAAAAATGGGCTGCTCCACACCGCTTGTGGGACCCCCTCGTACACGGCACCCGAGGTGGTTTACCGGCACGGCTACGACGGCTCAAAAGCCGATGCGTGGTCGTGCGGCGTCATCCTCTTCGTCCTGCTCGCCGGGCGCCTGCCGTTCGACGACAGCAATTTGATCGCCATGTATAAGAAGGTTCAGAGGCGGGAGTACGAAATTCCGGGTTGGATTTCGAAGCCGGCGGGTAAGATCATATACCAGCTGCTCGACCCGAACCCGAACACGAGGTTGGGGACTGAGGCGTTGATGGAGAAGCCGTGGTTTAAAAGATCGATTGATTTAAGGCTTTCCAAGGAGCCGGCTGCGGAGGTAAAGAAATGCGACGTCGTTCCGTGCGGGATTAATGCGTTTGATATAATATCGATGTCATCGGGGTTGAATCTCTCCGGGCTTTTCGAGGCGGAGACAGGGAGGGAGAGGCGGTTCACAGCGGAGGCGGGGGCGGATACGGTGGTGGAGAAGGTGGGGGAGGTTGGGAAGAGGCTGGGGTACAGAGTGGAGAAAGGGAAGAGCGGTGTGAGTGTTGGGGTGGGGAAAGGGGCGATGATGAGGGTGGTAATGGCGGTTGAGGTAATGGAGATTGCGCCAAGTTTGGTGGTTGGGGAAGTGAAGATGGCGGAAGGAGGCGGCGGCGGCGTGGTTGAGTTTGAGCGGGAGGTTAGGCTTTGGGAAGAGTTGGGAACTGGGTTGGAAAACCTTGTCTTTTGATGTTGGATTTAAGCTGGCTGCGTGTGTTGTGAGGAAATAAACACGGGGTTGATTTAACTTAATCTTTGTACACACGAGGCCGAGACCAAGGCCGATGACAGTGTATTCGTGTTATGTAAGTCATTTTCCGATAACAGGGGCATCGATAATTAAGCTTAATTAACGCCCGATTAGTGGTTTTTTAGTTGGAATTAGATTCTTTTGTTTATTGAGAGAATGTTGGGTTAAGATCTTGGATCTTGTACATGAGTTGAGATACTGTAGTCTTGTCATTTCAAGCTCAAAGATTTAAGTATGGCACAAATTCGTATAGCGTATGAATCGATGTTGCATACCAACAGATTCAACGATGCTTCGCAACTCTAAATTCTACTCGTTTGTTGTATTTTGTCGTATCATTTACAACATTTGCTACTCCCTAAAATATGATGCAACTCAAATCGAATTATTATTCATTTCTTAATCGCTTCCTTGATGATCCTAGATTTAATTGGCCTAATACACAACAAGAAAGAACCACTTATTTTCTCGTTTCAACATTTTCACTTTTATCCGTGTCACGTATTCCACTAGCATGCAAAGCTAACAAATTTAATTATTTTTTTGTTAACAAACTAAAATTTGAATTATTAATAACAAAAGAAGAAAAATATTAAAATTTTAGGTTTCTAGTAGGATACACGTGACACTAAGACCATCTCCAACCCTTGGGCTAAAAGCCAAATTTTTTAGCCCGGAAAATTTGGCTTTTAGCCCAGAAACATCTTTTCTGCTCGAACCCTTCTGGCCTAAAATTTTAGCCCGGAATTATTAAAGAATGAACTTAGGCTAATTTTTTTCTTAAATCAATATTTTTTTTAAAAATAAATATGTAGATTATTGTAAATTAATTTTATGAACATTTTAATCTAAAAAAATTTAAATTCCGATAAATATTGAAAAATCATTAAATTTTTTACAAAGCAAACTACTTTCACCAACCGTTCATCTTTCACCAACCGTTCAACTCCAAACTTTCAACTTTCACCAACCATTCAACACCATAAAGTGCATGCTTTGTTGATAGTCTTCCACCAATCATAAACACCACCACCGTCTCGCCCGCTGCCGTTGCAGTTTTCTTGAAACTTTGCAATGATTTTATCCCCCAAAACCTTTTTATTTTGATTTGTGCCAACTGCACCATCTTCACTAACAGAAACCCATGCCAAGCATAAAGAAACATCTTCCTCAAAGGTCCAATTACGACCTCTAACATGCTCTCTTGCCATGTTGAACAATTTGGAAATGGAAAGAAATGATAGAAAGATAAATTGGAAGAATTGTAGGAGAAAATTGAATTTTGTGTGGATGTTTGAACAAATACATAGGTATTTATAGATTTTTTGGGTAAATTTTGTGTTAAATAAATTTATTTAATTATTTTAGCCGTTGGATTTAAATTTGGGCCGTTAGATCTTTTTTTTACCGTTAGATTTGAGTATATTCAATCTCAACCGTTGGATTCAATATATTTTAAAATAACATATTTTTTAAAAATAAAGTTTGAATCTGGACCGTTGGATCAACCAACGGTCCTTAAATCCTGCCCGTTTGATTTCGAAAAGAGCCGTTGGGGCTCTGAAGAGTGGCCGACAAGGCCTGACGGTGGGACCCCCTCTTGTCGGGCTCCGGTTGCAAGTTGGGGGCGTGGGGCGCGTGCGCGAGTCCACGGGCCGAGAGTGGCCCAAAACTGGGCGAGTCCATGCGGCTGGGGGGGGGGGAGAATTTGGGGGGGAATTTGGCCCAACTTTAGCATTCCCCTTTTAGCCCACTTTTTGTGTATTGAAAAAAAAAAACTATAACATACGATATTCAAAATCCAACCAAGAAAATTTGGAAACACATGCATTATGCGTACACACAATTGTATACAATGACTGTTGTATTCTTACTATTTTTTTTAAGAGATCCACATTGATGATCCAATATTTACATGCATATCAAATCAATAATACTATGAGATTAAAACCCAAATAAACTTCTGCCTACTGAATAATATTTTAAAAGAGAATTCCGTTTTCTTGGTCACTTGGTAATCAAGATTCACAGTTACTGGTTTTTAAATTTGATACCAATGATTGCGATTAAAACACTAAAGTGACATTTTACATATTTTTAGATATCAAATTTAGAGGTGAGTGACTATGCATAACCCTTTTGTTTTGAAAGTTGTTCATACATAAATCCCCACCAAGTATTTATCAAAAGAGTGTAGTAATATCTTTTACAACACCAACTGGCCTAATCAAGTTTAGGAGATACTATGTTTGTAAAGTTTGTGGTGCGTGAACTTGAGAAGAAATAAATTAGGAAACTTCTGCCTTGTGCTTAGTAAATATTCAATGTACAAAGGCAATTACACAAAACCTGACAATTTCGTTGCTCTTCTTTTTACAACGCCCACGGATGAATAGAAGAGCACATTACAACCTTTTGCATACATGTATTTAAGAGTCACAGCTGGTCATACAAGGATGTTACATGATCTTCAATTTGGTTCAAGGACTTAATCCTGTAGAGTTGGCTATACAGTTCTTGTTCCGAGCAATCGGCTCTATACAGGATCACGTCTCTCGCCCCTGTGAACCGAAATGTGACCTACATTTTCGTTTTGTCAAAGTTTTCATCTCCCTTCTCAGTACCGTTGAGTGAGACATCGGTTGTAACTTTGAATAAATAATCAACTTCTACACCTGAAGTTCCACAGCTCAATTCCCTCACTGAATTTCATTAATCAGCAAGGAATTGGACTACAATGCCTGGCGAGTATTCAAAATGCTCTTCGCAGAGTATCTACAGATAATTACTTTCATTTAATCTCACAACAGATGAGAGGGCTGAAATCCACGCTCGCAACCCACGCTGAGCATCCTTCTTCACTGATACTTCCAGATTGCCGACAGCCTGTTTTGAAATCCCAGATTTCACCAAAACAATTCCAAGTGATTTGAATGTATGATCATCAGGTTGAACGGAAGCTTTTATCATTTCCTTGAAAGTTGCCACTACCTCTTTGAATCTTCCATACATCGCATACAGCCCAAGCACATTATTATAACTGAGCAAATCAGTTAAAAGTCGCAGTTCTCTCATCTGCATTGCAATCTGAATGGCCTCCTCAAACCTCCCCAGTTTCTTATACATGCACAACATCATTGCGTATGTAAACTCATTTGCAGCTCCCTTGCTCTTCAAGCTATCAAAGAGTTTTTCTGCTGGCTCAACCATACATCGCTCGCTATAAAGGTCAATCATACAATTTGAAGCATAAATAGCATGACCATCCTCTGAAGATTGAAGAAGTCTGTATGTTTCTTCTGCTTCATTCAAAAATCCAACTTTAGTATAGAGCTTGATCAAGGAGTTGTAAATCACCGTGTTCCCAGGCAAACCTGCCTTTTTCATTGCATCAGCATAACTCAGAGCTTCATTAACACTTCCGATATCAGCAAAAGCATTTATCAACACCCCAAAGATAATAACATCCGGCTGAACATTGAATCTGACCATCTCTTTGTATAGTTCCTCTGCCATTTCCAGTTCTCCTAACTTTGCAAAGCTTGATATCACAGCACAATACGGGAGGCAATGATTTACCAATCCTGCCTCCTGCATCTTCCTGAGATAGGGTTTTGCTGTATGTGGCATATCAGCACTAGCCAAAATTTGTATCAGAGAGCTATAGCTACATTTGTCCGGAACTACGCCATGACTCTCCATGCTATCAAACAGCTGACATGCTTTACCATACTGTTTCCCCACCCCATAAGCTTTAATCATCACGTTAAACTCAAGGACACTCAATTTCTTTGCTTCTAGGCAGCAAATGAAAACTTTCTCAGCTTCCAAAATATGGCCACGCTCTCCATATGCATCAATGTTGGCAGAAAAGCACTCAGAACTCAAATTCCCTGAAAGATGAAATCTCATGAACCAAAACCATGACTTTTCAAGCATCCTGGCATCTATGTACATCCTTGTCAGAGCTGTCTGAGTGAACTCATCAATCTCGAGACCCTTTTCATCCATCTCTGATATGAGGACTTCAGCTTTGCTAACCATGTGCCTTATTGAGTACGCATACAAAAGGATGCGGTAACTGACAGGGTCTGGCTCAAGGTGAGCCTCCTTCATCTTTGTGAAGTAGTTTGTCGCCATGTCTATATTGTCATGCTTTGCATGGAGGGAAATTAGAATATTATATGTTCTTGTATCGGGTGGACATCGAAGCTCTTCCATCTTCTGCAATAGGGAAGCAACTTCTTCCAGCCGGCCATGGTTACCACAAATGTGAATCATTGTATTGAAAGTAACTGTAGTTGGAGCAATCCCTTCCCTAAGCATCATTGCAAATATTTCAGATGCTTCTTTAAGTTGGCCATCCTTTCCATATGTGTCAATCAATGTATTGTATGTATGCGAGCTCAAAGAAATGTGAGAATGCAAAGAACTTTGCAATCCAGAAGCACTTGTTGTAGAAGTGCCCTCTTGTTCTTGTCTCAAAGATACGCTCAACGACCATTTGTTGAAAAAATCCTCAGCGTTTCGAAACTCTCTCGCTTTCTTATACAATTGAACGACAATCCCCATGGTAACCTCATCCGGTTTCATTCCTTGTTCGTTCATCTTGTCCAGCCAAACAAGTGCTTCTTCTTTAAGCCCGCCTTTACTGTAAACATCAATCAAAGTTCCATAAGTTGAATTTATCGGTGCTATTCCGTTAACCTTCATCTCATCCCAAAGGCTCTCGACACGGCTCCACTTCCTCGCCTTCCCAAGAATTCTAAGCACTATATTATAGTGAATCACATTCACCTCATAACAATCCTTTCTCTTAAACCACTCAAAAATCGCCCAAGCCCTTTTCCAACACAGCTGCTCCTTCAAAATTATACTCCTTTCCTTGTTAGTAAGCCTATCTTCCCACGGCCTCAGAGCCTCATCCAAATCCTCAACTT